GGCCCTGCTGTCATTTTTTTACTCTGTTGCTACTATACCTGTAAGGGGAAAAAACACCCTCAAAGCTGCAAAGACTGGGCTTCATATAGGGAGCCATAACATAATTCTTAGATAGCCAAGAATTTATGGCATATATTGCAGACATACCCAGAATTCCTTAGGTTGAATGAGTGCCGGGCAGCGCTTCCCCTAGAGGCTTCTATTCTGGGAATAAGAATGACAACTGATGCCTCAAAGCACCTGCCAGGTCCTCAAGGAACTGGCATGGTTACAAGCAGACTTCCAAGGATGGCATCTGTCATCTGCTATGTGATCCTAGCCACGTGGCTTATCCTTGCTGAGACTGTGATTTTCATATATAAAACTGAGGATAATAATGATACCTAAAACACAGGGGTGTTGACAGGATTAAATAAAATCTTGAATAGCAATTGCTTAGCATAATACCTGGATGTGTCTATTCACTTTTGCTGCATAGCAAACCTCATAATTATGTGAAACAATTTGGGCTGGGCTTTGCAAGGCAGTTCTTCTGCAGGTCTCATTTGGGTTTCCTCATGCAGCTGCAGTCCGTTAATGGGTGCACTATGAGCTGGTTGCTCCAGGATGGCCTCAGTTCCATGTCATTTTATTATTATTATTAATTAAAGTTTATTGGGGTGATAACTGTTAGCAAAGTTACATAGGTTTCAGGTGTACAGTTGTGTAATAAATCATCTATATATCACATTGTGTGTTCACCACCCAGAGTCAGTTCTTCTTCCATCACCATATACTTGATCCCTTTTACCCTCATCTACCACACTTCTTCCCCTTTACCCTCTGGTAACCACTAAACTATCAGTCACATGTCTTAATGGTGGTTCTGGTTGTCAGTGCCAGTTGCTCTGGTGACAGCCTGATAGGACCACAAGCCAGCAGCTGACTAGTCTCGGCCTATTTACATTGTGTTGGTGTCCGCGTAATTAGGAGGACAAAGAGAAGAAAAGCTTCTATGTGGAAGCACTCCTATGACTCCCCCTGCATCAGATTTTCCCTTCCCCATTAGCAAAGGCAAGTCATATGGCGAAGGTCAGATGCAGTATAGGAGGGGGCTATTTCCAGGAATGGGTAGAGGAGATGTCGGTTTATTGTGAGCCATTCCTGCAACACTCTACCACACAGGGAACATAGTAAGTGCTCACTAGATGTTGGCTACTATTTTTTTTAATAATGCATCTCCTATGATTATCAAAACTACATGAATATGTAGCCCTGAAATCTTGGTCCCAGTTTTGTATTGCCACAAATGGCATGACCATAACTGAATGAATTTCTCAGCACTTTTTCATTTATGTNTATTTGTACAAATATTTTCCTACATGCATGTATGATTCATACTGGACAGTAAGAAACAGCTCTTCTCATTTCAGGTAAAAAAAAAAAAGTAGTACATGGAGATTGTTTGACCTAGGTGCCCTATTTGGCTCTTTTCCACCACAAAATTTCATGAGCTCACAGAAATAATTTTTGGTCCTGATCAAACAGGGTACTTTTTCATCCTTGCCTAATATGCTTATCTGCCCACTTTCTTGGGATTCCACAGGTTTATGGGACCATCTTCCACGTGAACCAAGGAAACCCATTCAAGCTGAAGGCTCTGGTGGACAAGTGGCCTGATTTTAATACAGTGGTTGTCCGCCCTCAGGAGCAGGTAAGGGGCCAGATGTGGAATGAATACGCTTCTGCTTTCTTATTAGCTATGTGCCTCCCAAGTGCCTGGCAAGGTGGTAGACCCAGGGGATACAGAAATGATTTGCAGTGATGTTAAACAAACCCTTGTCCTCAAGGAACTCACAACCTTGAGGAAAGGAGAGATAAGCAAATAAATTGCAACTCAACGTGAAGTATGCAAGAAGAGAAGATGCACAACACACAGTCATAGCACAGGCGAAAGCTGCTTAAACTATGGTGGTTGAAGATGGAGATTACAGGATAAGGTTAGGGACACTTCTCAGTGGAAGTTTCATCTGAACTGCATTTGGTACATAACTAATTTCTTAAGCTGACAAGGAATACAGGACATAGCACGGGCAAAGACAGGCAGGTGTGAAACAGGACAGTGACTTGGGGTGATTATATAAAGCACATTTATAATGCTAGAATTTCCATATACATTTTAGGGGAACATTTAAAAAGTACTGAAACTAAATTTCAAACAAAAGGTTTTTT